CCTGTCGTTGCTGGCCATACGCACAGTAGATTTCTTGGAACAATGCAACCTACCATTATCTTTCATATACTGTTTAGCTAAACACCCTCCAGAACAATGCTGCGTGTAGAGCCAGTATAAGAAAGCAAAATGTGAGTTGGAAAGGAGTTTTATTTTAACATAGGATTGTACATGAAAACATTATTTGTGTGGAAGAAAGTACTTTATCACTTGGCAGCACAGAAAATAGCTGAAAGGGTTTTTCTGGCTAGAAATCTGTAGTAAGGGATGGCCATTGGCTGTCACCACAGGGTCACTTTTATACTATACCTGTAAAGAAGAGGCAGTATGTTTTCCGGTGTCCATACCCAACTCGTGCCCCCCCCCCCCCATCCCTAACTTGCATGCTGTGGTTCCACCCGTACATCCTGTAGTGATAAACAAGCCAGCAAGAGGAACCACATGCATGCTGCAGGGTATTCCACACACCTGTAAGTGTGGCATCTACATCTGGGAGGAGCCTAGCGCCATTGGCACATGACATGCCAGAAAGGTATGTATGTTTCCTCTTGTACAGGTATGGCATTGAAAACAAATGATTCTGTACTGACGGGTTCCTTTAACCTGCATTGTGGTAGGGCAGCCCACTCATTTTGGATAGGCTGCAACGCAGGTTTTAATGCTTTTTTTCAGTGCAAAATTGGTTCAGTCTGTGCTTTGTGCTGTGCTAAAGTGCAGGTCCATTGTGTTATGCTGGGGATGTGTGTCAGGGTGCCATTAAAAAAGAATGGCAAAACACTACGGTTCTTGCGTTCAGATGTGAGTTTTCCCCAAGAGCGTCTTTAATATAAACACATTCTAAACTCTGGGGTCTATTCACTAAGCTGCCGTAGGCAGGCTACTCACTGCTGTTCGGCCTATTCTTATAGATGCCGAACAGCAGTGAATAAATAGCTGAATGCCGCTGAGCGGCATTCGGCTCGGGAGTTCTGCTCGGTCCCTCAGAGGGACCGAGCAGAACAGAAAAGTAGTTAAAAAAAGTAAATAGAAAACAATTGTGCGGAGCTAGTAGTGACAGCTTGCTCCGCCCAATAGTTTCCTATTGTCCGGCGCCTCTGCTGCTGTCAAAGAAAAAAAAAAAAACTCTCCCGGGCGCTGTGGAGCCTCCCGCTCCCGGCCGCCTAGGAGAGAAACACTGCTGTTTCTTTTTTTTTTATTCTGACACAGAGCCATGTCAGAATAGAAAAAAAATATGTTTTTTGCCCATTGGAATGCATTGCTAGATTCCTATTTCAAATTTGCAATAGCCAATAGTAAACTAACATTGTACCCGCCCTCTGCTGATGGACCTGATGGAGAACTGCAGCAGAGGGCTGGTACAATGTTAGTTTACTATTGGCTATTGCAAATTTGAAATAGGAATCTAGCAATACATTCCAATGGGCAAAAAACATATTCGGGAGCTGTACAGGCTATAGTGAATAGCCCGTACAGCACCCCTTCGGTTCTACTGAACCGAAGGGGTCCTGGGGCCGAAGCTACGGCTAGATCCTTCGGCAGCTTCGTGAATAGACCCTTCTGTGTCGAGAATCTGGAAGGTGTGCCTGACCAATATGCCTTGTGCTTTCAAAAGCCGATTATTTGGCTTTCGAGCATTGCAAAGTCATGTTTGCTTTTCAGTTTAAGGAATCAAGGCTGTGTTGCACCCTCTCAAGTACATGAGCACATACCCACCAAAAGGACTGCCTCCGTGTTGCAGTAATAACTTGAATTAAAGGAAAGGCTGTCAATGCAGACTACCCATTTTGAAGATGCTAGTTGTCAGGCTGTCTTGCTGACCCTTGATGCAAAGCTTTGTGTTACTATGCCAGAGCAAGTATGCAGATTAGGACATTTGACTTTCCTGATAGCCATGCTTGTTCCAAATCAGCTATGCAGAAAGGATACAAGCCAGAGGGTCAGCGCAACTGGATAGCAATAAGAAGCAGTGTTCACTTAGTTCAGCCCAGTAAGTCCTTACATTCTTCCTGTGGATATGCATGTAAAAAACTAACCAAATATTTAGCAAATCTCCAAATTAATCTCAGTGTTTACCTTGAACACATTAATAGAGATAATTAGTTTTCCCCTTCATTGGAATCTGTCCTGCCATGATACATACAGATACTTGGTCTGGAAAAAATGGTATCGGTGCATTCCTAACACAGTGTATAAAACAAATCATACATTCAAACAGGGAGGCACAAATCCCAGGAGTCCCAAAGCCAATGCTCCTTAAAAATGACAGCTGCCTTCTAACTGTTGAGTTTTTCTCTAGTTTTGGAGCTGGAAAAGTATCAGTACTTGTACCAAGTATCTGTGCATCCCTAGTTATACCCTTACCTGAGGCATTATTGTATGTATAGGCTTTAAGGTTCTATCTTGAAATGATGACAGCGTTTTGTAAATGTTTGGAAAAAAAAATTCAATACACTGATTGAAAGCACAGATGATCAGTATATTCGATTCGGCCATTTCCGATGTGATTCTTCATTACTGTTTCTCAGTTCTGGTACACATTGAAATCTCCTTGAAAGTAATGCAGATTTATATGTACATATTAGGAATTTACTTAATCTGTTCTTTATTATTAGAAACTAGTGTGTTTATCTGCCCAAATGCCATTGAAGAATTCATATGCTGCCTGATTCAGTCAACTGTCCATCCTTCAGGACTTTGTCTTCCATCTATACCAACACACTGCACCTGTTTAAAGGAACATTCCTTTTACTTTATCTATGTTGGAGGATCTGCATAATTTGAACATTGGCAAGTAATGAGTTGGTGTAACTAGATTACAGAGAGATTTCTTGCATGAATATGTTTTTGTTTAAAACAATGGCAGGAAACGCAGTACTGTAAATCATATAGTTGCTGTATGCTTAGTAGGAAAGCATGGTGTCAGAGGTCAGCATCTGAACCTTTTCTGAACTTTTGGGAAGGTAAATTTGCTCAAAGCCCAAAGTAGTAAGGCAGAAAAAAATGTCTCAAGAATGACCCTTTACCTCTATGAATAAATAATAGATTCTCACAAAGTGGGTTCATAAGACTCAAAATAAGTGCAGTCAAAGATAACATCCAAATGATTACATAACATAACAGCCTAATATTTAGGGTAATACGTTTCATCAGACCAAGTTCTGACATTACAAATCCCCATGTTTGTTACCTTAATTTGTGAGTGTGTACTCGAACATAAAGAAATAAATAAAGCCATGCTTAGAACTAAGCCCTTATGGGCATGGCCCTCCTTACCATCTTGTCTTGAATTGTATTGTGATTTTAATGTTTTCCTTGTATTGTAAAGCGCTGCGCAAACTGTTGGTGCTATATAAATCCTGTATAATAATAACTGTACTGAATTGTGTTCGGCTTTGTAACTGCTGCTACACAGCATGACGGTGGCTCCCCAAGCATCCTGTTGCATCTCACAGTTAAGGTCCATCCAAAAACACATCAGTACATGATAAAGCTGCCCAAAATGGGTGGATGCTCTCTTCCACTAAGATGGCAATAATATCCTTTTAATGGCATTACACCACACCCCGAGTCTTACCCCTGTGATGGTTTAGTTGGAACCAGGTTTCATCATGCCAGATAGCTTCTTTTTTTTTTTTCCTTCAAAAATGTTTTTGGCCAACCTAAGGTAGATGATAGATCAGCAGCCCAAAGCTTTAACATGTAAAATCTTTGAGAAAGTAACTACAAAAAGCATTGCCTTGAATAAATGAGAAAATACCTTGAGTTCATCCAAAGCTGTGGCAATTTATTACTTATCAACTGCAGAAAAAAAATGGCAGTCTGAAGTTTTCATAGCAGACCTTCAGACCCATAGCTAATGAAGTTAGAAAACAACCATTCCATCTTATAGACTCCACTTGCTGCTACGTGTTTTTCTGAGCTTCATATGACTTTGCCTATCTAATATGCTGCTGAAAATGTTTCTAATAGAAAGTTGGTCACCCATTGCAAGAATCATGTCAATCACATAATTTATGCATTAACTGCGGGGGGTCATTAGCATTAAATAGCTAAGCATTGTCTGCTAGAGGATACACCTTGGCCATTCCACTATAAAGAGACAGATTTTGGTTTACTTTTGCCCACTCAGCAAAAATAAGCTCCATGATTTGCCCCATAAGAAGAAAGGTAGTAGGCTGCTTTTAAATTAGGAATCTTTTGAGCCTGGTGTCGATCCTCCCAAGGTATTGCTACTCCGATGGTAACAAAATAACAGCTTTTACCTAAATGCAACTGTGCTCAGTCTCTGGAAAATAATCTTGTTCTGTGCAGTAATTCATTCTCAAAGACCACAATAAAGACTCTAAAGTTTGGTTTCAGAATAGCTTAGAAACACCTAATGCTTGTTTACATTAGAGGACTGGCATGCTGCCAAGATTCTTTTACGATAGAAAATAATAGGAAAACAGCTAAGATTTCCATACCTCTTTGAAGTTTGTGAATTTGTACAGGAGAGAAGTCTGACCCTGTAGGGCCAGCCTCAATTCAAGTAGAACACTAAAAGCCTATAAATAGAAGACATCCTTGAATACAGTGTGGGTAACAGAAAGCTGCCGCTAGAAGGTTTATATTGTAAATACTTGTTTTTGTGTACATTGACTGATGTGACACCTCAATGTGACTATTCCTTTATACTCTGCTCTCAATCACACTGTGAC